ACACCACCTGCAGAGACAGCTGGTGAGCACAGCCAGTACCAATGACTCCCTCACTGGTCCAAGGCAGCACAAGGAAATTATTCCTGTTCCTCAGTCCTGCTGGCCTGGCCTGTCTTCTGTCCTGGACAACAGGACTCCCCATTTCCATATGTTTTCCCGCAGGGAAAGTGCCCAGTGCCAGGTTCATGCTGGCAAGACCTCCAGATTTCAGAACATCTCATTTCTTTTTGTGATCCAGATGGCTTAGCTGCTCCAACACCCATTTTATCTAAGAACAGGCTTTTGAGCTGTATCATCTGTTTCCTCAATATATATGTAAATGTTTTAAAATAACAACAGCAGTGTAGAAAAAAGAAGCCTGCACCACTGAGTAAGCAAAGAGGACTTCTGCTTAACTCTCATGGGGAAACAGCATCGCAAAACTAGCCCAGTGACAATCCTGAGGTCCTGCCTTGTCCATTGCCCACAGCTTGGCCAAGCCATGCAGATCACCAGCAGAGACATATCACTAGTATGCAAGAGAAAAGGAGACACATTGGATTCCCCCACCTTCAAATTGCAGGCACACTGCTACCATACCCGGCTTCCCTTCTGTAGTAGGGGCAGCTGGCAGCATTGTGCATCCACACCTTTGAGACCCAGGGCAATGTGTGAGGCTACACCTATCCCGAAATTCAGTGCTGATGTCTACAGAAAGGATCAATACAGTGCGCTTTTGCACAGAGAGGAAAAACTCAACAAACATATAAGACCTTAATCAAAACTCCAGGGTTTCCAAAAAGCCCTGTGCTGAAATCGAAGGCTGCATGGCAGTTTAGCTCTGCCCTGAAGCAAGAAGTGGCACTTTTGCCACAACAGCCAGCTGAGTCACTAGGCTTTGAATCACTTCTGAAATACACAGGGCTTTCTCTGTAAAATGCTGGTTTACTTTTCTTTTCCTATTTTTCAATATAATCAGAAGCCCATTTCATGAGGTGTCTAATGGCAGCCCCCAACTATTTGAAAATAAACATTTCCATTAAACAAGTGGATTTTGGTGTTAGGAAGTCAGAAACTTGAAAGGGCTCCTGTCAAAAGTTGGTGGAGGCCCTGGTAGGCTGTTCAAACACAGGAGGAATTTCTGTCTGCATAGTGAGTCCTTTGACTTTTAGAAAAATATTATTGTTTGAGTTTTCAGTAACTTGGAAGCAAAAAGGACAACATAGCTCAAAACTTAAAAAAGGAGAAAATATGTCAATAACACGGTTATGTCATGTTAGGCTTCTGAGTTTCCTCTCAGCCCATGTGTCTTCTTTTACTATGGAATAGTCCTTATAAAAGAGTAAACAAATGCACTGTAAATAGCACCCAGGGCTGTAGTGACATCATCAGCTTCAAGAGTTGATACAAAACTTAGAGAGTGTATATCCTGAGCCCTCAGAGGCCTCAAATGCTCACTGAATTGAGGAGTATTGTAAAGATGTGTCTGTGATGGAGTTGTCCATGTCATGAGTGTAATCACAAGTACGGTGGTTCTGACTGATTCCTGTTGTGCTCCCTTCTCATGCCGGCCTGAGCTTCGTTCCACAGATAGGAAGGGCTGTAAATAGCATCTTCTCTATAGAGACAATCTTCAGGTGAGTTTTGACTCTTTGCCCTTTCTCCCTCCTATAGCTCTAAGACTATTGCCTTTTCCATATTGCCTCTAAGATGTTATTAGCCTTTGCGAAGAACACCTTGTGTCTCCCTGTTAAAGACCTTCTCTGCCCAAGGCAAGGTACATACCAGAATTAATAAATGGCTAAATGGCTTTGCATAACTGACTGGATAAAAACAGTCACTGAAAAGAGATTCTGGAATTTCAGGGGCTTCAGTAACTGTGCATCTGGTTGAGAGTTGTGCAGAGTGCCTTAAACTGAAAGGACCACTCACAGTCCCTGGTGTCACTAACAAGTTCTCCTGAAGTCACCAGTGAGCTTCTTAGAGACAAAGAAGTTATTTGCTCATATCTGGACGATAAATTTAATGTACTCAGAACTCAAGAATAATCTTGCTGATGAGCTACAAATAGAAAATAACTGAGAAGAGAGTATTTGTCTTTTTTGAACTGAGTTGCATATTCTGCATGCTGAGATGTGCAGAAGTGCTGATGAGCTAGTAGAGGTTGGAAAATATCCATCTGGGTGGGAGACAGATATGTGTGTAATCTGACTCAGGGGGGAGAAGATTTAGGTGAGGAAATTAAACCCTGGTCCTTCCTTCTTCCTTTTTTTTTCTGAATAAAATAAATTAAAAAGTCCTTTTTCCTGGTATTTCTAAGGGTAACTCATTTTTTTATCTATGTGAGTAGACATCCATACAGGTGGCTTTCCATGAGTTAGTTTATATAGGATCAAAGAGAAACACAAGGCAGGAATACTGTAGCTGAGTAAAAACTTCAGAGCAAACTACTTCAGCAATTTTGCCTCTTCACAATATAGACAGTAATATTTTTTGTTTGGTTAAATGTTTTAATGAGGTTTACATTCAACCTTTGCTTTGCTTTCTGGGCCAAGAAGAGCTTGGTCAGCAAGGGAATTGCATTTCCCTGTTCTACAGAAGAACATGGAAGGGTGGATCATTTCCCATGCCTGTCAGTGGCAAAGCATCTTGGCAAGTTGCGCAGCTGAACAAATCTCACCTCTTAGGACAGAAGTTATGCTATGCAGTCTGCAAGTGTGAGGCCAGGCAGACCTCAGCTGCAAAGTTATGAATGGTGGATGCCAGTCCTTTTCTCCCCCTTCCCTTTGTCACTGCCTCAGATCATTGCCAGCATGCTGCACTTTCAAAAACTGAGAAAGGAATGAATTCCACGTATCCCACTTTCTGGACAAAAATCATAAGCCCTCAGTGCAGTGCAAGTGTTGGGCTTTTCCTCCTCTGGATGTCTACTTGGAGCAATAGGTGGCATTCAGCGTTTATGCCAGGCTCTCTCAGACATGACCACTGAGTGAGGCTTCTATGGCATGGGTTATTCACCCCAACTTGGGAGACAAGGCATTATGTTAGGCTAGAGGAAGCTACACATTTGCCTCCCTGGCCCTGTGCAATCAATGTAAAGCTCAGTTCATAATGTAATTCCAAATTGGTGTGGGCACCTTTAACGTTACTCCATCCTAATGAGAGAGATTTTGAAATAGCTTTCAGCTGCCTGAATATGTCCAGGACAGAGGACTTGGGGAGTTGTTTTGCTGGTGTTTCTTGCCAGACAAAAAGTGGCCATGAGGCCATGTTTGACATCTATCTTTTTGAACATCATCCATAGTATTTAATTGTAGTTTGAAATGAAGTCATCACTGTAGGCTTAATATAGGTAAAATACCAAGAAAGATAATATTGCTTGCACTTAAAAAAAATAGAAAAGCAAATGTTTCATTTTGAAGCCATCCTTAGCAGCAGCTGGGTTGCTGACTTCTTGTAGTGGGAGAGCATTTATGCAGTTCAGAAGACTGCTCTTCTGGCAGAGCAACTACATTTTAGCAGGTTGCCAAATGAGAATGTGATAGAAGCATAATATTTCACTGCTACCCTCAGCTACTCTTTACAGTAATGAGATGGTGATTAAGAGCCTGTTTCTTTACCAGCAAGGCTCACAGTAAGACATATCCTTTCCTTGGACGTGCTCTAGGTAGCTGTGTTTAGATCTATGATCCAGCTGCTTGGGGCCATCTCAGATGGTTTTCTGTCTTCCTCCGGCCTCTTCACTTTTCTAGGCAGCAACTATCTTTCCAGGAAATAAGACCCAGCAGCCCATTTGCCAAGGCCAGTCCTAAATTCCCCTCAACCAGGACTCCCAACTTTTCTTTCTCTTCCTAGTATCTGCCACTTTGACCTTCTGGAGAACATGATGTTACTAAACCAATCGTTCTTTATGACGGCAAAGAAACATGTAACAACAGACCCTAGTGTGCATCTCTCCTCTGTTTCCTCCAGGTGTTTTGGTCGATTTGAGTCAGAGTCTTCTGCAGCATATAGAATATTTTTTCTTTCCAACACTAATTTTGGAGACTCTGATTTTCCCTCTAAAATGGCTTTTGGGAAGCCCTTTCTTTTACAGATGTTCAGTCGTTTCCTCTTCTCCCACCTTCAAATGAACCTTCCTGGTCTACTGCAATGACAGGGTATTGGAGTACTTCATCAGATGCTTTACTCATTTGGGTAATACCTAGCTAGAATATGAATTTGAAAGGGGAGAAGGTAACTTGTGAAATAAGCAGTTCTTTGTTCAAGGGTACCTCCATTTTACAGGACAATTAACATGTAAGAACAACATATGTTCAGCCTCAGGCTTGCACCCCAGCATCTGGGTTTCTCAGCACCATCTGTCATCTAATAAAGGAACAGAGCCTCATAAATTTGACTCAGAAAGCAAAATAGTTTTTATACATTTATGACAGCCATATAGAGATGTATTCATTCTGTTTGAGACCATGAATGTGTAAATCCACATGTCTCTCCAAGCAACCATAACGAGCACTATTGTTTCGATTAACAAATTGTGAGCATCTGCCTAGGTTAAAAGAGAAAATGACATTAGACCTGGAAGGTTTCCTTTATAGCGGTAAACTTTCGGACCTGCTAGGGATGATAAGCAAGTCTAATTGATACTGATAACATATGTCACCAGTCCTGGAAGGATTTCTCTCTATCTGCAGCCTGTGTGCTCCCACAGCTGTACATTACATTCTCAAGAAAAGTGTATGTGCCAAAGTACATACAGGATCATGGCCTACAACACTTTGATAACCCCGTGCTGCTTCTTACACACATATATCTGTTACTTGAGATGCTCACTAGGCTGTTTTCTTTCTGGAATGAAAAACATCAGTAGTGTTTGTTTTTGTTCCCCTCATTCCCTCCTTTCCGTGCTCTGGGCAGGAAAGCACTAGCAGCTCTGCCTCATAGGTTGGCAGGAAATTTAAAACAGCAGCAAGCTGCTGCTTGGACCACCCCCAGGCTGGATTTTTTTTTTTTTTCCATTGATTCAGGAGACTATTTAATTGGGAGCTGACTTGTCAAACTCACCCATTGACGCTTACCAGTAGCTGCTAACCACTAACTGATTTTTTTTCCTCCCTTCCTCCTCCTTTGGACAAGCTCCCTACAATGAATATGCTGCTGAGTCTCATTGCTCTGCTGTCTGCTGCCCTGCTATCCAGAGCAGCCCCTCCAACTTGCTACTCAAGGGTGTTGTCTCTGAGCAAAGAAATCACGGAGTCCTTTAAGGAGTTACAGACCTCCAAAGCTGTGGTGAGTCTACCTAAAAACTGCTCCAGCAAAGACGCTGCAGATTGCATGTTTTTGACACAAATTTCTCTCCAAACAAAATTGCAACAGGTATTTCTTGTTTCCTGCAGGACTCCTGTGTGGAGATGTTGCCCAGGCTGTACTTGGACATCCATGTAAGTTTTCACACTACTTTCTTAATTCCGTGCCGTAAAAGCAGCTAATAAAAAGAGAGAGCTCTTAAGACTGCACCCCAGAAGAGTGGTTTGAAAGAAATTTTTAAGAACTTGTTTAATTAGAGAGATGAGTGACCAAAAAAAAAAATCTCATTTTAAACCTTATTAAAATCTTTGTGAATCTTCTGAGATTTTACTTGTTTAAAAATTTCAAAAATGAGGAAAATGATATTTTGAAGTGATTACTTACTGTACATTATTTATTGTGAGAGAGCTTTTTCAGAAGTTAAATATGTGCAACAAAACTGAGTAATAGTTTAAAAGAAGAAATGCAGGATAAACTTTCTGCATTGAGTAAACCTACTTCATTTTATATGCTGAGTATCTTCTGGGACTGCAGTTTTAATAAAAATGAGTGCAAGAATACCTTCCTGGCTTTTCCTATTTTAGGTAGCCACTTGTTGAATCTAGAAAGAAGAATTATGCCTGAGGGTATAAGAGTGTGATACTGAGAAAAGACAGCAGTAGTCATCTCCCAGCAAAGACAAAATAGAAATAGCTTCCTGCACACATAGTTAATGTCATAGCATTCTGCCCTGTGATATTTGACATATTTTGCTTCTTTTCCCAGTGCTCCACTGGGTAACTAAAAAGTAGAAGATATCCAACAAAGCAAGAGATGCCTGATACATTTTGCCATAGGCAACTACACTATCAAGACTTGCTAGTAATGACCATCTATATCCCAATTCCAGAGTTGCCAGTGCCTCACTTCATTGCAAAGACTGAGCAATGTGAGCCGAGTGCCTCAGTTTCCCTCATTTTAAAGCAAGAGCTGGGGTATTTATCAGCTTCACAAGGATGTTGCGAAATCCATTTTGGCTGTGTTTTATTTTGAAAATGCAAAGTCTGAGACAAAAATTACTCTAAAAAATATTTTGCTTTGTGCTTACAATATTGCTGATTGTATGGGAACAAAAGAATCATGTCTGTGATTGATAATCTATTCAGCAGTTAAATCAGGTGCTCACTTAGAAGTGAAACAGTGCACCTATTCTGTAGGTAACTCTACCCACTACAAAAGCAGATTTGATTGTATTGGCACTGCTGCCTCCTAAAGCATCTGAGAAATAAACTGTCAGACCAAAATTGTGTCTATGAGCTTTCCCAATCACCTATTTGGTCCAAACATTTTTGTTATGAAATACTGATAGTGAATTTTCCTAACTAAAGGTTACATAGGTTACGTACATACGTATGCAGAGATAGGAATTCAAGGTTCCCACAGAGGCAGTAAGAATCATGTAAGTGATGGATGCGAAACATAAATCTGTGTGTGCAGGGTTACACATACCTCTTTCACATGCTTTGCAGAATTACTGTGTGCTGGCAAAACTACGTGAATTTGTGGCCTACCCCAGATGTGAGAGAGTGCTTGAAGTGAGTGAGCTGAAGGAAAAAGCCCGGAGCCTGTACACCATCATGATCTCCTACTGCAGAAGGGTAGGTCAAGATACATCGAAGGGACACAGTCTCTGTTTTTAGCTCTCTCTGTCACTATCTTGTCCTTTGAAATGCAAAACTGGATCAGGGCCTAAGCTTCTCAACACTGTGCTATCTTCTGCCTTCCTCCTTATATGTTACCCTTCTCTTTTGTTTCTCCAGGACTTGGTATTCCTCACCGATGACTGTAACGCTCTGGAAAATCCTATTCTGCCTCCCATTGAGCCCTCCATCATTGAGAGCTAAAAGGGATTCAATCTGAAAGTTGTACCTGGGAAATTTTTGAGGAGACCAAGAGACAAAATATGTACACAGTCAACTACAATGTTAAGAACCAAGAGCTTTTTCAAGCACACCAGCAATATTATCACAGACCTACCCATTTTTCTGTACTTTGGCAGGAAATGAACTGCATGCCTTGCATACCTACTGAGCTGCTAGGGGAAATACTGTTAGAGAGCATTTCTTCATTTGGCAAGGTATGATATTTCAGCTTAGCCAAATGTATATAGTATGTTTTGTTTAAACATTAGTCACTTGATTTTTTTTTTTTACTTTTTTATTAATAACTACTTTCATATAAAGAAAATACATTACGATCAATATTCTACCCTGATTTAGCAGTTCTTTTATTAGATGGACATAGAAGGGACTATGTTTTTTTCTTAAATGTTTGATAGGAGAAGTGTAACTGTGTACTGGAAGATGTCTCTCTACCTGTATAGCTCATACATATATGCTGATAGTTTTGATGTGAAACTTGTAAGACTAGAGGTGAAAAGAACTTGTCTCTGTGGAAAACTAAATAAAAACACAGCCTTCTAACCCAAGGTGCTTGTTTTACGTCTTGTCTTTCAACATCAGCCTGAAAGGTGTCATTCTTATAAACTTACTTTTCAGGGTTACTTGCAAGTTGTTTTTCACAGCCTAAACCATCTTTAGCTTTGTTTCCACAGCAATGCAAACTTTGCTGTGTCTGCGTGATTTGACAATATTTGAGGTTTTACTGGAAGGATTTATCTGTACTGCAAACAATTTCTTTTTTGTCCACTAATAATTTTTGTCCACTAATAACAAAATTAGTGGATTTTTTTAAAATACTATTCTGTGTTGTGAGAATGTAAGTTGTAAGGCAGTGGCTCAGAAAGCCTGCTAAAGCTTTGGACAGATTGCTAAAACACAGATGATATACTGAGCTATGAGATTAATGAGATTTCCAGATAACAGTTCCATAGTCATGAATCCCTTCAGTATGTGCAAGACATGAGACCTCCACACCCAGCAGTTCTTTGGTGCCAACAATAAAAAGGATCTTCCCCATATTCTCAGAATTAGCTGCAAATACCCTAGAAAGTCCCTTTCTTCCCTCTGTGCAAGTGGTTCCTCTATCTCCTGTATAGTATTTGCCAGTCATTCATCTGCAGCACTGCCAACCCTGGCGACTTGGTCAGTGGTCTCACTACGTTTTAAATACCTTTCTGTGGTCATGGAATTATGTGACAGTCACAGCTCCTCTATTGTCCTGTCATCCCAGTGAATATATGGAGCTACAAACCAAAATGATTGACAACTGTCACGGAAATAAGTGAGTCATAACACTAAGTCAAAGGAAAAAAAAAATAAAGGTAGGGAGGAAGTGAGTTTTGTTCCTTTATTTTTGAATTATCCTGTCCTTTAGAAACTACTAAACTGATTTTAGCTATAGAAAGTTTGACTATCCCATTGAACCACAAAATAAGGGTGCGAAACTGAACCTGCAACAGATACAGAGAGAAGAAAGTAAAAAAGTACTCTTTCCCATTTGTTTCAATTATAAGTGTACATTCAAGGGAAATGGTTATCAGACTTTGTACTTCTGAAGACAAGGACCCCATGTGCTAGCCCTGCTAATCCTCTAGGGTAGTCCTACTATCAGAAAAATCTTCGCTTGCCTTTTAGGATCCTTCTTATCTGCAAGCCAGCAACCTCTGTGCAAGACCCTACACACTCTAGAGGTACCAATGCTATTTCTTCTGCATCACCTGGACATACCCAAAGCCAGATCCTTCAGCAGCAGCCATGTGCTGGAATATGGACACCTATTAGCATGCTGACAGGGAGCCTGATACCAGCATAGGGAGCATGTAAGCACTGTCAGCTCCCTGGCTCAAGGAGAAATGAAGGTGGGGTTGAATCAATTGCTGTCAAATTCTACATCTAAACTTTCCCTCCTTCTAATCAGGAGCTCAGCCACTGCTTTGGGAAGCAAGCAGCACTGGGATAACATCAAGGTCTATACACTTCCATACAAGTACCAAAACCACATCACAGCCTCTACTTTCCGTACATTTATACAAAGACAGCCATGGACATACCTTGCAAGAAAATGCGGTATGGTCACCACAGGCCATGCTGTTTGCAGTACTAACCCAGGGACTGGGTGGTACATGTGCTTGGAACCTGGCAGCAGAAGTTGTTAATTTTTGGCTGTTTTTTCCACCTCCAGATGTCATGGAGGGTTTTAAACACAGACCTATTTGTAAAGCTTGTCTTGTGACTTGGCAAGCAAACTGCAGAGCAAGATGCATTTCATTTCCCACACAATTCTGTCCCTAGAACTGGACCTTGGGTAAAATGCAGGTAACCATGGCACTTCTGCCCCTGCTTCTTGCCTGTTGCATGGACACACACTTTCTGAAATGGAGTATTTGATGAGGATTTTCTCATGGATCTTCTGATAACTCTTCTTTATCCTGCCTTATTAAAGTAAATAAGCCTTCCTTAGTGCAGGAACTTGTCTGAGTTTGAGAGAACACATGATCCTAACTCAAGATTTCTCCCTTAATGTTCCCATTCTCTCAACCACCTTCCAAATACATTTTCTCCTGCTTAAAGCTGACCACATTTGTAAGGAAAATGTAGCTTAATTTCTTTAGGACAAAATATCATGCCAAAAGTCTTTGGAATTGGAAAAAGAGTAGAAATCACAACTTTATTTTCATTGCTTTCATTAGCAACTACAGTCTTTTCATGACTGACAAGGACACACTCTGTCTGCAATACACTCTTAGCATGGTTACTTACCAACAGCTCAGTTCTGTACTGTGACATCCTACTTCTGCAGAAGATGAGAAAAGCAGTTAGATGCTCTGTGGGGTGTACATATTTGAATGGAGTTTAAAAGTCTATCCTATATTTGATGATGCTGTGTATGTTATTCCCAGAATCAGACTTGTCTGGTCACTGATGCACTTTTTACACCAAGAATATTCCCTATGGTTTATGCTGTGACTTTCTTCACATCTTGTATGTCATTTTTAATAGAAAGTGTGCTGAAAACAAAGCTATGGTTTTTCAGGTCACAGTAACCTGCTGTCACTCAGATTGTCTTAATGAGATTTGTGTTTTGATGAGCCTCTTTTATGAAGAGCATCTTTTTCCAAGTTGACATGGTCTAAGATAAAAGAACACTGATAAAATGATCTAATCCAACTGTAATTTACCAAGAAATCCTCTGCTTCTCCCCCTCAGTAAAACAGTAAGTTTACCAACTTTTTAATTTACTGTTATACCAGGTATATGAGGAGCAGTGGAGCCATTCATGCAGCTGAGTATTTATTCCTGCAACACAGCAGCCTATGCTTATTAGGGCTCCAGCTTACAGGGAGACCATGAAGGGATTAAGAAGGACATATTTGTTGTAATTTGTTATCTGGCATCTTGCCTAGTTATTGCAGAATATTACTAAAAACACATCATTAAAATTATGCAATTATTAGGGAAGAATTGTAGAAAAACAAAGCATCTGTTCTGTTTTCTTACCTGTAAAAGGAGGTTTTTTTGGAAGGAGCAGTCAATCCTAGGACTAGGTTTTTGTTTACAGACTTCTAGCAGTCCTAGAACTGCTAGATTCTCCATCATATTATCATATGGAATCCAAGGTAGGCAAACTGGTAAGTCTTGGGGACTGTTTGAAAAATTATTCAAAGAAAGACATTAATTTCCATTTTTGCCAGAAAGTAGAGCCTGTGGGAAGGGCCCTTGCTGGAGAAGTTTGTGGAGGTCTTTCTCCTGTGAGAGGGACCCTGCGCTGGAGCAGAGAATGAGTGCGAGGAGTCCTCCCCTGAGGAGGAAGAAGCGGCAGACACAATGTATGATGAGCTGACCACAACCCCCATTCCATGAGCCCCTGTGCCACTGGGGAGAGGAGGGAGAGAAATTGGGAGTGAAGTTGAGCCTGGGAAGATGGGAGGGGTGGGTGAAGTTGTTTTAAGATTCAGTTTTTACTTCTCATTATCCTGCTCTGATTTGATCAGTAATGAATGTAACTAATTTCTCTAAGTTGCATCTGTTTTGCCCCTGTCAATAACTGATGAGTGAACTTTCCCTGCCTTTATCTCGACCCAAGAGCTTTTCATTATATTTCCTCTCCCCAGTCCACCTGAGGAAGGCAGTGATAGAGGGGCTTTGGTGGGCACCTGGTGTCCAGCCAGAGTTAACCCTCCACAAGTGTCTAAAGAAAGGCCATGATTTCATTATCAAAAATTTTTCATAGTCTGTGTTTCCTCAGCGTAGGGTAAATGTATATCCTCAGATGAATAATATAGAATGAACAGCAGAAAACCAGCTAAAAATCTACCCTTTAAAGACAGATAAATACATACAGATATATCCTGAAATTTTGTTTCATGTTCATAGGTCCATAGAGAGAATGAATTCAGACAGATAAGAGGATTTTAAAACCAGACATATGAAGGGCGGGGGAAGAAAACTGTCTCCAACTAAGTTTTTCAATAGATTGAAAAATATTGACATTACTTTGTTAATATTCAAGTCTTATAGAAGAAAAAGAAGTCAAAGTCATAAAACAAGAAAGAAGCTTGAGATCTCCTAATGCATCCCTTGAGCCCAAGACTAGCCTGGCTATCCCAGTTTAGTCCTGATAGCAGTTTGCCTGAATGGTTTTAAGAAAAGGTGATCTAGAAAGCCTGCAGTTGGTCAATTCAGTCCATTCCAGACTTCCCTTGTCTTAGAGTTTTATCTTGTGCTCAATTTGCCCTCTCAAAATTTAAGCCCATTGCTTCCTGCTTTATTCATCGCAGAAATTGAGATTAGGTGGTTGTTCTTTGTCCTTGCAGCAGATGTTAGTACATTTGAAGATTTCTGTCTCCCTCTCCTTACTCTATAAATCCAATTATTTCAATCTTTCTTCACAGATAAGAGGTCTAAAAAACATGACCCTTTTTGTTACCTTTCTTTTAGCTCGATTCACTTAGCTTCCACCCTTATGAAGCATAGTGCTCAAAGTTAAATACAGACATCCAGCTGAGGCTTTATCAAAGTCAAGCAGTACAGAAAGAAAGATCTATCAGTAATGTTCTGACAACAGTAGATTGTTGTATGCTTCTTTGTTTAAATTTTAAGATTTGTATGGATGTAAAAAGTTACAGTACATGTTGGCCTCACTCTTCTGTAATGAAGAAAATCCTGGGGGAAAACAAAACAAAACAAATATAACAGATACTGAAATACAATGGCTGCTCCGTTTGCTGTACAAGTAGCTATCAAGTTCACTGGAGACAGTGCCAGTCTGAGAGGAGTCATATTTTTTAAATGCATATGGATTCTACAATGTGATCTACACCTCTTCCTTCCCAGGACACTGTCCCAGCTCCCAGCCTGTTGAATCCTGCCAAAACTGAGCCTTGGTGAGGTTACTTGTAGACCCCTACATTGTATGCCCTTGCACTGTCACTCTCTGACGTGAAACGGTTAATGTTGCAACTACTAAACCCTTGCCTTCCTAACCTGAGAGGCTGAAGCCAAGTT